TTGTTTTTTCTTATTTGGGAAGCTCTTTATCTGTCCTCCTATTCTAAATAATAGCTTTTCTGGGTAGAGTAATCTTGGTTTTAGGTCCTTGCTTTACATCACTTTGAATATTTCTTGCCATTCTCCCTGGCATACAAAGTTTCTTTTGAGAAATCAGCTAACAATCTTATGGGAGTTCCCTTATAGGTAACTGTTTTTCTCTTGCTGCTTTTAAGATTCTTTCTTTAAGCTTTTGCTTTTTAATTATGATGTGTCTTAATGTGGGCCTCTTTAGGTTCTTTTTTGGGGGGGGGGATTCTGTGGTTCCTGGACATGTATGCTGACTTCCTTCCCCAGGTAGGGGAAGTTTTCTGCCATTATTATTGTTTTCAAATAGTTTTTAATTTCTTGCTCTTTCTCTTCAACTTCCAGCACCCACCCTCTTCCCCCCATGCAAATGTTGATACTCTTGAAGTTGTCTCTGATGCACCTTACACTAACTTTATATTTTTGGATTTTTTTTTCTTCTTGCTGTTCTGATTGGGGCAATATTAGTAGTATTTTTTTAAAAATATGTTTTTATTATTTTTATTGATTTCAGGGAGGAAGGGAGAGGGAGAGAGAGATAGGAACATCAATGATGAGAGAGAATCACTGATTGGCTGCCTCCTGCATGCCCCTACTGGGAATCAAGCTTGCAACCTGGGCATGTGCCCTGACTGGAATTGAACCAGCAACTCCTTGATTCATTGGTTGACGCTCAACCACTGAACTGTACAGGCTGGGCTTAGTTGTATTTTTGATGTGGTTGTGGGAGGATTTTAGTAATGTGTTTACCTATGCTGCCATCTTGACCGGAAGTCCACTGGCTGAATTATTTCAGTGAAGTCTATTTTCTCTCTCACAATGTTAAAGCCTCAGATGTTGCAGGGAGGTGCAGCTCTGGGCTTACCCAATTACTTTGGGATGACAGTGATTTGGCTAAGGGCTCTCTTCATCTTTTTCCCTGACTATACCATGTTGTTAAACTCCACTAATTGCATATGATTGCTCAATTATTTTCAACAATGCCCTAGGGAATAAATTGCTCTACAAAAAACTAACCCAATCCAATATGGCTTCTTTGAAGGAATAGTTTTTGAAGCCATTATTGGCATTTGTTCCAGTCCTAGGAGAGTTCCTCCCAGCTGTCTTATTCCCTGTCCTTTCCTGAAAACGGCTGGCTTACACTTTTGCCTTTCATCACAACCTCCACTGTTTTTGGGGGTGCTCTTAGGTTTGTACTTCTCCATACTCTGATGCAAATAAAGTTATTTCCTTTGGAAAGTGATGAGGAGCTATCTGTTTTCCTACCTGCTTCTCTATCCAGCCAAAATCTCTGAGCCAGGACTCTAGAGCAGGGGTGGGCAAACTTTTTGACTCGAAGGCCACAATGGGTTCTTAAACTGGACCGGAGTGCCGGAACAAAAGCATGGATGGAGTGTTTGTGTGAACTAATATAAATTCAAAGTAAACATCATTACATAAAAGGGTACGGTCTTTTTTTTTTTTTAGTTTTATTCATTTCAAACGGGCCATAGTTTGCCCACGACTGCTCTAGAGCCCGAGAAGGGGACAATAGAAAACTTCTCTCTGAATGACACCCTCCCTCTAAGAGTTGAACAGTCAATAGGTGAGATATGGGGGAAATAACCTAAATTCCTCTTGTCTTGCCTCTCCTAGAATGGAACCACTACCTCATGAACTGGGGCAAGGGTGCTCAGGGCCCCAGTCTTGAGAGAGAGAGAGAGAGAGAGAGAGAGATAAGAGTGAGGTAGATAATGGGAGACTGTGAATGAGGCAGAAGTTATTCAGGGGAAATTGAAGTTCTGACATTTTCAGGATAATTCAGGGATATCTTTGCAGTATAATTTCCACTTGGTGGAAAAAAAATCAAATTGGTTTATTCCTTTGGGACTTGGTGTATCTCCCTAGATTTGCAACTGACTATTGCCAAAACAGCTTCCCTGTATTGTTTTTATTTTTTAATCCTTATCTGAGGATATGTTTATTGACTTTAGAGAGAGGGGGACAGGGTCGGGAAAGAGAGAGAGAGAGAGAGAGAGAGAGAGATCTATGAAAGAGTTGCCTCCCATATGCACCCCAACTGGGGATCAAACTCGAAGCTTAGGTATGTGCCCTGACTGGGAATTGAACCCACAACCTTTTGGGAAAACACTCCAACCAGGTGAGCTCCCCGGCCAGGGCCCTGTATTGTGTTTTAATAATGATAATGTTAAAGGGTTTAACATGATCTATTCTGTCCTTGTTGACTGGGAGATCAGGTTCTTGTCCCTGTTCTGCTCGTAGGAGCTGTATGACTTTGGGTAAGTTACCCTCTCTGGCCCTGTATTTTATCTTTGGGGGAATAAGATTAGATTGGGATCTGTAATGCTTCTTTTAATCTGTGAAACGCTGGGATTTTATTCAATAGCCTGGGTTGGTGAAAAGAGTTCCATTTTGGAGTCAGTCCAGGTTTCCAAACAGCCCGACATTTACTGGCTTGGGTACCTGAGTTTCCTCATCCATAAAGTGGAGTAATGATGTTTATAATGGAAAGCTTATTTATTCATTCAGTGATTGTTTACCGACCACCTAGGTACTACACGCTGGGACTGTGGGATGAACAATCCATCCTCTCTGCCCTCAGAGAGCCTAGCTACTACTTGCTTATTGTTGTAACAAATTACCACAAATTTAGTGGCTTAGAACAACACGAATTTATCATGGCTACAGTCCTCAAGGACAGAAGTCTGAAATGGGTTTCACTAGGTGCAGTCACGGTGCTTTTGGTTTGCCTGATGTTTCTTATGGCTGCACTGAGGTTATTATGCATTTTCAGCAGTTCTGTGGCAATACCGCAGAAGTGGGATGCCCTTCTGGGTGTACCCCGTAGTGGCTATAGATAACACTGTGTCCTATCATTGGCGATGTTAACCTTGATCACTTGGTTAATGGGGTGCCTGCCAGGATTCTCCAATGTAAACTCACCCCTTTGTAATTACTCATCTCCTGAGACTGTGCAGATGCCCTGTTTCTGCTTAAACTTTTGCCCAGGCTTTTACTTTCTCCGTCTGAGTTAAATCTGTCTCGAGGAGCAGGAAGGCCAGGGGTGATTGCAGGGGAAGAATGGCTAGAGAGAGCAGATAGGCAGGGGCTCGTTCCCGGAAGAATCGAATAACTGAGGGGCCGCGCAGTCAGGCGCCTGGGGCGGCCCGTTGCCCTGGAGACGGGGTCCTTCGTTCCCCGGTGCCGCCAACTCGTGGCGCCAGCCC